CCAGTTCATCTGATTGCCCCCGCTACCCCCCAAGTCCTTTAATGGAGTTTTGTGTGCATCAGAGCCCCGTGATATCTTTGGACCTTAGATGTATTGGGACAAAGAGAAGCCTCTGTTCCGACCCTAATTATTATAATAGACATCCTCAGTGATTTAGTGCCAGCCCCTGAAAGTGACCCTTGGCATTTGACCCCTTCTCCTTCCTTAGTTTAATTTCTTACCTGTTTCAAAAGAAGAAGAAAATAGTTCTTAGCTTTCTAGAGCAGAACAAATAGCTCATGGTGAATGCACAAAAACACAATGTGACCCAGAAAATACAAAATATTTATCCAGGGCATCAGCCTGTTCTTGCGAAACAAGCATGGGGAAGTGGGATACGTGGCCCCGTTCCAGGAAGCCAGCTGGGAACTGGAACTGAGACAGTGAGGTAAGAACAGGCCTGTGCCCCTCCACTGTGTTCCTGAAGGATTATAATGAAAGTCAGCATCAGGACTGTGAAGTAGGTCATCGGGGTGAGGTGACAAGGACAGAGGGGAAGTGGCAGAGATCTGATTTCTGGTGATAGGTCCAATCTAGCACCAACCCACAATGATTCTACCTGTTTTGTTCATTAACTCATGGTTTCTTGAGCCCTACCATATTCTGAACAGTTACTGTGGTTGCAAAATCTAAGAAGACAGATACTGCTCTTGCCCTCAAGGAGTTTACCAGTTAATTATTGCTATGTAAAAATGCACTTCAAAACGTAGTGGCTTAACACAACATTTATTTAACTCACAAATCTCAGGCTGGAAATTGAGGCTAGCTCATTTGGACAGTTCTTGTGTCAGCTGAGCTCACTCATGCATGTGCATTCAGCTTGTGGATTTGCTCGGATCCAGCTCACGTCAGATGCCCTTATGCGCAGCGCTGGTGGTGGGCCAGCTGTCAGCTAGGACAGTGACGGCAGTGACTGAGCCACATGTTTCTCATCATCAGCAGAGTAACATGGGTTTGTTTAAATGGTGGCAGCAGAGTTCCAAAAGAGCGAGCAGAAGCACTAAAGTCTCTTGGGCTCTAGGCTCAAAAAAGTTATTTTACCACCAGGCCAGCCCAGAGCAAAGGAAACTGTAAAGAGATTCTGTCTCAGGAGGGAGGAGTTCATGAATGGAGCACTCTTTCCAAGTAGAAGAAACAATTCCTAAGGTGTGGTTTTCCCACCCTTAGGGAGACACCACCACCCTATATGCATATTGAGGGACACAATGCAATTTTACCAATTACGAAAATGTTAACTTATTAGCCATAGTGTAGAATGCTGCCATATATACAAAGTTGATCAGAATAAAACAAAGCATCTTCCATTAAAAATATACCTGGAACTTTCTGACACTTAATGGCAGAAACACCAGCGTAGGTGTGGGATAGAGTAAAAATTAAAAGAACTCCTCCATAAAGTGTATAACAGCTCGGCAAAGCTACAGGCCAGTGTTGGGCATACTTACAGTCCTGTCCTGTGCTTGCTCTTCGCTGTACTGACCCTGGGACACAGGAAGATCCTGAAGTATCCTGTGGGTTATTCATCTATTCCTTCATTCAACACAGAAATAACATTCATTAGGGTCTTATTGTGTGGGCAGGAGATCGTATGTGTACCAGGATATGAAAGTGGGGCTCTTCATCGCTGTTTCAGCTGGAGTCCCAATCACTGCACGGCGAACAGTGCAAGCCAAGTGCTGTGCTAAGCCCACAGCCCTAAAGTCGGGCACTGGAAATCCTGTGTGAGACCTGCCACAGGGGCATCAGAAGACTGTTTTTGTAACTCTTATCTTATAAGGCTGGTGCCTACATAGAGGGCATGTAATGGCTGAGGGTTATGGGAAAAGGGAAAGAGGACACTTCTGTGGTGAGGAGTGACAAACTCAGCTCCTCTAAGCCCTGTAGGCATCGTCCTTGTTGGGCCTGCATGGCCAGCTGTAGGAAGAATCTTGCTGTGTCCATTTAGAGACAACACTTGACACCTGCTCAAATTCCTGGTCCTCCAATCTTGGCATCTGACTACTCTGGCCTGTCCTCAGCAAGATTCCCCCCTCACCTTTGGTGTTTCTTTTAGCCATTGTCCATCCACTGGTCCCCCCAATCCAGCTCCTTGGCTACGAATCCCCACTTGTCCTTGCTGTATTTGGAACTGCACTAGTTCTGTATTGAGGTCTCTTTCCTGCAATAGTTCCTGAATAAAACTCGTTTTTGTTGCATTACTTTGCTATTTTCAGTTCTGGTTTTCTTTGACAAAAGGGTCCTCCTCACTTCCCACCCATATCTCATGGAGCTGGGGCATGACAATTTTTCCCTCAGGAGGTGAGAGGCTTCAAACTTCAAGTTTTTAACTCTGCTTTGCAGAATCTCTGGGGTACCAAGAATCAGTCCCACACAGAGGCCTGGAACTTCCTACAGGCAAGAGGCTGGGTGAGGCCCACAGTGGGGGCCGTGGAGGGAGGGATCTCTCAAAGGACACCGCATGGCCCCTCATGGTTTGACGAGGGTGCAGCCAGTGCGGGACCATCTTGGATGCCAGCAAGAGGACTGCCTGGAGGGATAATTGGCCAGAAGAGTTGAACTAGCAGATGCCCAGGAATGGGAGAGGGACATTAAGGTAAGGGTGGTGCACGTGGGTGGGAGGGTGAGGTGGGGGCACATGTGAAGCGGGGAGCACATGGTGCGGAGAGACAAGGTATCGAACCCCTGCCCACCCCACCTGGAAACCTTCCAGTTCTGAAACTGGGTGGGGAAGGGGGAGCTAATCAGCTATCCTAAGGAGTTCTATAAAGTGTGTCCTTATTGGGCTGCAAACTGTAATGGCCAAAAGAAATCTTAGAAACACATGTGAGAATAGGACCATTTGTTATGAAAGAGTAACCTGAAAAGTGATGGACCCTGCCTGAAATTTCATTCAGAGGCAGAAAAGTAGTGCACAGTGTGTTGGGGTGTGGGCGGGTGGGAATAGAACCACTTTTGCCTTGCACCCCCTTGAATCTCATTACTGTCAATCTGTGACACAGACAGGATTTCATGGTTTCCAGTTTTATCCTCACTACCAAATACTGACATTTATGCTCTCATACCTTTGTTTTAGAGGCTGAAAATGGTGAATTTGCAGATATAAGTGTCTTGCTCACGTAGTCACAGTAAGGGGTTGCGCAGTGACAAATCCCCATGACCCTGAGTACTCAGCACTGCACCCCACATCCCTTTTGGTGGCTTAGCAAAAGGCTGGCTCAGCAGGCTTGAGGGAGCTCAAGGGGAGAAGAGCTTGGCACCAGGGGTGCCTGGAGTTACCTGTTCTAACCAAGCTGCTTCCTCACCCAGGGAGCTGTCCCTGCTACTTACTGACCTAGCCAGCCCCCGCCTCCTGTCTACAGATATGTGGGGCACTGTGAGGGTGGTTCCTCACCTGCACTTTTCCCTGACGCATGCAGTCCAGCTGTGCCCAACCCGGCACACTTCCTTGAGTGCTCAGGATATCGTGCGTGTCCTGCTCTTCTCTGCCGTAAGCCACACAACCTCCAAACCCATTTTAAATTTATCCTGCAGCCTGCATGTGTCTGTGTCTCTTTGTAGGAGAGTGGTGGAGAGGAGATTCACAGCCTGGGTTGCCATTTGGCAAAACTCACTCTTGGTCCCCGATGCCGTAGATGGCATTATATTGCTTGCACACTGTGTGTGAGGCACTGATACAAAAGAGGGGAAGGGGCCCTGGAGCCTTCCAAGCAGATGCAGGAGTAACAGAGTTACAAAAGTGTGTATAACAAAATCTTCCTGTCTTGCTTGGACAAGAAACGGGCTCATATTTTGGAGCCTATCCAACAAGCTTTGAGGAAAAAAAGAGACATTTTATATGGCCAGAAAAATCAATTATAGGTCATGTATTGCCCAGGTTTCTGGCTGATTGTGCTCACACCCTACTTGGCCCTGGGTCCCATTGCATCCCTTAGGCCAGGATGAGTCCCCAGTGATTTCACATTTACTCCCCTAGAAATGGGTGTGTACCTGCCCATCTAGGATGATGCACAGTATAGCAGGAATGGAATTTAGAGATGACTTCAGCAAATCCTTCATTTTACAGATGAAGAAACTGAGACACATAATGTATTTTGACCAATTTCTGTTTGAGTCTCCCACTTGAATGATCTTATTGGGCAAAAAAAAATGGACGACAAGGTCCTGGAAGTTTGGGAAGTTCAAGTTCAAGGACTGATTTAACTGGTTTTATTCTCAGTCTATCACTTGGCCTGTTTTCTAGAGATGCAACTTTGCAGTGGTTTATAAAGAAAGTGCACATGCATGGGGGTCTCACCCCATTTTTTCTTTCACAAGGCAAGAAGGACCAAAGCCTCATCCTGCACAGTAAAAACCCAACCATTTCTTCCAGACACATTTTTCTTGGCTCTCCCAGCCAGCTGAGGCTGGCTCCAGCCAAACACCTTGCTCCCATCCTTTTCTCTGTTTCCCATTCTCACAGTGCCAACTGCATTGGCTTTTCTCTTAATCCCAAGAGACAGAAAGGATACGCACCATGGCTCATGGCATGTTGTGTTTTAGGCTACTTACTTAGGTCGAATCATCTTGTTATGATTTGGGTGTTTGTCCTCCCAAAGCTTCTTTTGAATCTTAGTCCCCAGTGCTGCAGTGTTGGGAGATGGGGCATAATGAAAGGTGATTGAATGAGAAAGGTGGGGCCCTCACAAATGGATTAATGTCATTACCAAGGAGGTACATTAGCTATCCAGAGAGTGGGCTGCTATAAAGTGAGCCCAGCACCTCATGCTTTCTCTATTTGGTAGGTGTTTGCTTTCCCTTCCTCTTTTTACCATATTATAACACAGTACAAAAGCCCTTGCCAGAAAGTGCCACCCTGCCTTTGGGCTTTCCAGCCTCCAGAACCATGAGCAAATAAGTTTTTCTGTATAAATTATGCAGTCTCAGGTATAGCAACAGAAAACAGAGTAAGACACCACTTTGAGGAAAACAGAGATCATTTTATAGGGGTTAGCCTAGTTTTCCAGGGGTTTTGTTCATTTTTTTGCATTGGCATTGTGGTCAATGCTCCATGGACTATCAGTGTTAGCTGGCCTTCTCTTTTATGAGCATTGTCTCCCCTCAGCAGCTAAACCCAGAAGGGTTGAGCAGGTATGTGATCTTTCTGATCCCCTACTATAAAATACTCTACCAGGGCTCATCAAAAGCTTGCAATCTAGTTGCAAGAAAAGATCCCACCTATAACATAGTTAAATCCAATGTGAAACAGCCTGAGAACCGATACCTGATGGAAGATTTAAGGCAAAGAGATACTCTTAAGGACAGAAAATATTTCCACATTTGTCCCCCAGACTTGCTTCCCAGGTTGGTTAATTGAGGACACACTCTACTTGGCCCTAGATCTAAGGCCAAGGTAGTGTTTCCTTATGTCATCCATAGAAACTGCTTCAACAACACTTGATTTCTCTGTCTGTCAATAGGGAATAATACTTGCCCTGCTAACTTCTCAGAAAACCACTCTGAGGCATGAAGAAAATAAAGTAAGCACAGTGGGAGCAAATGAGACAGCCTTTAGGGCTCACCTCTGTGGCTGTCCCGGGCCCACTTGTAAAGACTATTTTGCATGACTTTGACCTGAGCTCTCTCAACAGGCCAGAAGCAAATACACATCGAACAAAGGATGCAAGATGGAGGCACATTACAGCTGTAACACTTATGATGTTCTTTATGGCTTGCAAATCACTTAAAGGCTACTATTTCCTTTGAATTTTTAACAAGAACTTTCTTTAAAGAAGGAATCATTGTTCTTTTTTCATCTCCCAGATGAAAAGCTAAATTGTTTGGCACATCAATGACTTTCCCAAGACTAATTTGGAGGAGACAGCAGAGCTCAGATTTGGAGATAGTTTCCTCTGATGTTTCCTCAGGGTTGCTTTTGCTTTGTCCCCTCACACCTGCGCAGTCACCAGTGGCTTCAGAACACATGCCATTTCTTCTTCCTTCCTTCCCCCTTTCCTTCCCTGCGACGTCACGCCCGAGGAATAGCACAGAGGCGGTGTTGGACTGGGGAGATGGTGATGCCCATTCTGAACTTCAGGCTCAGCTTCTCATTTTTGGGGGGCCTGAAGGTAAATTTTTGCATAAGGGAAGTGAAGAAAATAAAGAGCTCAGACTTGGCCAACTGTTCTCCAAGGCACGCCCGCTTTCCTAAAAGACAAAATCAAAAGATGAGTTGTCCTCCCAGGTGGCACTGGTGCCTAGCAAGGATTGGGATCTTCAACCACAACCTGTAAGTCCTGAGCCGAGGAAGGCCTTTATGGGCAGCAGCGTAAGTCTGACAACCACTTGGGTTCACCCAGGCCCAGAAAGCACAAGTCCAGAATCATAAAACCAAATGCCTTCAGAGGTCAGGCAGGTGACGTTGCAGGACGAAGGTGGAAGGTGTGGGATCATAGAACTGGAAGGGTGGGCTGACCTACAAAGTGGGTGTCTAGCCTAAGGGCTTTAAAAACTCAATAAACAACAACAAATGCAGGCAACAAAACAATAATAAATCTCTGTGTTAATGTTTTCCAATCCTTAAAAGGAAACTGTCCAAATTATAATTAAGTAACTATCAAAGGAGGGTTTCTAAGGTACAAGTTATCTTTCCCCTATGCCACGTTGTCCTCCTTAATCATGGAGACCTCATTGGCATGGATGGCCCTCTATATTGGAACCACTTACGCCTCCCTCCTTGTGTAGTCCTTGGGATACGCGGTGGTCCTTCCCCTACACACGCCTTTGCTTCTAAAGTGAGGCCCGAGACTGGGTCCTGCTCTCCACAGCTCACACTTAGCACTGCCCTGGTCCCATCCCACTCCCTGTTATATGTGGCTGAACTGGAGTCAGAAGGACAGAGGTCCAATTTTACTCCTCCCGTGTTGTAGCCATGTGATTGGGGCAAATTAAGCAGCCTCCCTAGGCATTAGTGAAAATGTATATGTGTTTATGATGAGAATTTCATTTTATATGTTGTGTGGGCTACACACTGAATCCAAGTGGGTCAAGTAATAATTTATATAACAAAAAAAGTATTTTAAAATGTCACCTAGATAATAATAGTCATTCTAGCTGTATAATAGCTTATTGTTAACTTGATATGGTTAATTTTCGAAATACAGAATAATACAATTTAAAGGATGACCTTGGGCTAGGCGCAGTGGCTCACTCCTGTAACCCCAGCACTTTGGGAGGCTGAGGTGGGAGGATCACTTGAGCCTGGAGTTCAAGACCAACCTGAACAATATAGTGAGACTCTGTGTCCACATAAAGAAGAAAAAATTAGCTGGGCATGGAGGTGTGTGCCTACAGTCCCAGTTTCTCGGGAGGCTGAGGCAAGAGGAACACGAGCCCAGGTGTTCAAGGCTGCAATAAGCTAAGATCATGGCCCACTGCACTCCAGCCTGGGTGATAGAGCGAGACCCTATCTCTAAAATGAAATAAAAATAACAAGTAGGGCCGGGCGTGGTGGCTCACTCCGGTAATCCTAGCACTCTGGGAGGCCGAGGCGGGTGGATTGTTTGAGCTCAGGAGTTCGAAATCAGCCTGAGCAAGAGCGAGACCCTGTCTCTACTAAAAATAGAAAGAAATTAATCAGACAACTAAAAACATATAGAAAAAATTAGCCGGGCATGGTGGCACATGCCTGTAGTCCCAGCTACTCGGGAGGCTGAGGCAGGAGGGTCGCTTGAGCCCAGGAGTTTGAGGTTGCTGTGAGCTAGGATGATGCCACGGCACTCACTCTAGCCCGGGCAACAAAGTGAGACTCTGTCTTAAAAAAAAAAAAAAAATAACAAGTAAAAGATAACCTTTAAATAAAACTTTTTGGGTGGCAGCGTTATTAAACTAGCTTTCTCCACATTACCGTTCTTTACTATGGTACTTTCCATAATGTGGCTTTTATTCTGAAATAGTTACAAAAATCAAAAATCTTACGAAGATAATATATAGAACATATTTCTCCTGAGTTATTTGAGAGTAAATTGCCTACATTATTACCGTTCTTTACTATGGTACTTTCCATAATGTGGCTTTTATTCTGAAATAGTTACAAAAATCAAAAATATTACGAAGATAATATATAGAACATATTTCTCCTGAGTTATTTGAGAGTAAATTGCCTACATTATTCATGAAATCTTCAGTATATATTTTCTACAAACAAGGACATTGTCCAACATAATCTCAATATAACCAACAGACCCAAGCCAGGAAATTAACGTTGATAAATTACCCCATCTTATCCTCAGATCCCATTCAGTTTTTGCCAGTTGTCTCTATAATGTCCTTTATTAGAAAAGGCTCGAGTACAGTGTCACGTGTTGCTTTTAGCTGTCATGTCTCTTTAGTCTCCTTCGGTCTGGAATAATTTCTCATTCTTCATGTAACTTTCATGGTTCCAGCCCTTTTAAAGACTACAGACCAGTTATTTTGCAAATGTCTCCCAGGTTTTCCTCATGATTGGATTCAGGTTTGAGGTTCTGCATTTTTGGTAGGAATATCACTGAAGTGAGTGATATCTACCAAGTTGTCCCTTATAAAAATTATTCTTTTTCTATTTGTAACTAATAAATATTTTGAACTATGTTAATAAACCATTGCCCATTAAACTTTTATGTACTTGTTTCCACTGCTATTTCTTGAGCAAATATTTATTACTGATGGTTGCCAAATCATGATTTTTAAAATTCATCATTTCTTCCACATTAACTAGCTAGCATTCTTAAAGTAAATGCTTGTACTCCTCCCCACTTATTTATTCATTCATTTCTTCATATCAACATGGATTCACGGGATTCCTATTTTCATTCAAGTGGTTATAATCTGTAACTATCATTACTAGTTTTGAAGTTCAAAATATTCCAGATCTGACCATTAGATGCCCATTCAAACTGACATTTTCTGCCTTTTTGGCACAACAATATATTCCAGTTTTATCTTATACTTTCTCTTTCCTAGCCCTGGAGTCAGCCATTTTTCCAAAAGCCATGGCTCCTTTTAGTGCATAATGACATGTAGAAATCAACATCTGGGCATTAGGCATGCTCAGTGCACTCCAGATGTTGCTCCTAGGTCATTTCAGTGGACAGAGCTGGGGAATATATGTATGTATATAATGTGAGTATATATTCAAATGTGTGCATATATACCCATATTTACATCTATATTTCTGTATCTATTGAAAATCTCCATTCCAATACCACAGAGTTCACTCTATTTTCTCCCTTTCCCTATTTCTAATGTTCTCTCATGATCTCAATATATTTACTTAATGGGTCAGTATCCCTTCTATATAACTTACCTCCCATCACTACCATGGCCACCCTGTATGGAACCTTCGTCATCTTGCTTGTGCTCTAGGCCACCGCTGCCCTCTCCCTGAGTGAATGTCCTACTCGCCCCTTGGGCTGCAATACCCCACACCAGACTACCACTATCTCTCCTGTGTGCATTTTTATTAGCTTATTTTCTCCTTAAGTAATGCATACCCACTGCAAAAATTAAAAAGCATGAAAAAAGGATAAAGAAGAAAATAAAAAATATATGTAATCCCAGAATTCAGACAAAAACATTTTGAACATTTTCCCATATTTCCTCATTGTCCTAGTGAGAATTCCCTGGACAACATAACAGGCATTAAACCCTATAGTTAATTCTATATGCTGCTTTTGCTACTTTGTGTTTTTGCTGTGTAATTAAATATTCTTGAAATTTGGTAATGTATGCATGCCTCAATTTTGTTTATTTCCTATAACAAGTTTTTGAGGAAATAAAATATTAGAACATGTATGAAAAGGTGCTTAATAAATGTAAATGTGCTTCATGATTATGTCATTAGTACTGTGTGCCTATGTTTCCCACCAGTGGTGTCTAATTCATCTCTGTTCCCCTCATCTTTATCTCTTTACCCATCGCAGACAGCACAATCAGAAACTTGTTTAAAATGGTGCCATATCAGCATATATAAATACCCAAGATTCTCCTAGAAGAATCAGATATTATGACAAAACTGAACCCAGGAAGTCAGCAAAAAGGGTTAAAGAACTAGCTCCATGAATACCTACCTGTGTGACTGTGAGTAAACCTTCATTCTCACAGAGTGAAATTTTCTCCCTTGTCAAATACATGAAATACTCTCTCTCCTGTGTTACATGGCTGAGCAAGGATCCCAGTGAGATAGCAAGTCTGAATTAGCTTTTAAAAGGTGTATCCAGATGCATAAAGCAAATCCTACGTGATCTAAACAAAATGATAAACAGCGACACCATAATAGCCAGAGACTTCAACACCCCTCTGACAGAACAGGACAGACCTCCAAACAGAAAATTAACAAAGAAACAATGGACTTAAACAGAACTCTACAACAAATGGGCCTGGCTGACATTTACAGAGCATACTACCCTAAAAACACTGAATATATGTTTTTCTCATCAGCTCATGGGACATTCTCTAAGACTGACCATATCCCAGGCCACAAAGCATGTCTCAAAAACTTAAAAAAAAAAAAAAAAAAATAGAAGTTACGCCATGCATCTTCTCAGACAACAGAGGAAGAAAATCAGGAATCAACTTCAACAGAAACTCTCATCTCTACACAAAGTCATAAAAACTAAACAACCTTCTACTGAATGATCATTGCATTAAAGAGGAAATCAAAATGGAAATAAAAGGGCTCTTTGAACTAAATGATAAAGGAGACACAAATTGTCAAAATCTGTAGGACACCGCTAAAGCAGTCCTGAGAGGAAAATTTATATCCGTAAATGCCTACATCCAAAAGACAGAAAGATCACAAATAAAAAATCGAAGGAATCATCTCATAGAACTGGAAAAGGATGAGCAAATCAACCCCAAACCCAGCAGAAGAAAAGCAATAGCAAAGATCAGAGCAGAACTAAATGAAATTAATAACAAAAAACTATATGGAAGATTAATAAAACAAAAAGTTGGTTCTTAGAAAAAAATAAACAAAATTGACATACCTCTTGCTAGATTAATGAGAAACAGAATAGAAAGGACTCTAATAAGCTCCATCAGGAATGAAGAAGGAGAAATTACAGCTGATGCCACGTGAGTATAAAATATCATCTATGAATACTATAAAAAGCTCTCTGTACATAAATTTGAAAGTGTGGAGGAAATGGACCAACTCTTAGAAACACACAGCCTCCCTAGGCTCAATCAGGAAGAAATAGAATTCCTGAACAGACCAATATCAAGTTCTGAAAATGAAGCAGCAATAAAAAACCTTCATAAAAAGAAAAGTCCCAGACTAGATGGTTTCACACTTGAATTTTACCAGACCTACAAAGAAGAACTGGTGCCTATCCTGAAGAAATTATTCCACAACATCAAGAAGGAAGGAATCCTCCCTAATACATTTTATGCAGCCAACATCGCCCTGTTACAAAAACCAGGAAAGGATGCAACAACAACAAAAAAACTACAGACCAATATGCCTTATGAATATAGATGCAAAAATTCTCAACAAAATCCTAGCAAACCAAATTCAGGTGCTTATCAAAAAAATACTCCATCACGACCAAGTGGGCTTCATCCCAGAGATGCAGGGATGGTTCAACATATGCAAATCTAAAATGTAATTCACCACATAAATAAAAGGAAAAACAGAGACCATATGATTCCCTCAATAGATGCAGAAAAAGCATTCGACAAAATTCAACACCCTTTCATGATAAGAACGCTCAACAAAATAGGCATAGGTGGGACTTACCTAAAATTGATACAAGCCATATATGACAAACCCACAGCCAACATTACACTGAATGGGGAAAAACTGAAAGCATTCCTGTTTAGAACTGGAATCAGACAAGGTTGCCCTTGATCACCACTTCTATTCAACATAATGCTGGAAGTCCTAGCAGAGTAATCAGACCAGAGAAGCAAATCAAGGGCATCCAAATGGGGGCAGAAGAGGTCAAACTATCTCTCTTTGCTGATAATATGATCTTATATCTAGAAAACTCTAAAGATTCTGCCATGAGACTACTGGAATTGATAAACAAATTCAGCAAAGTCTCAGGTTACAAAATCAATGTACAGAAATCAGTAGCATTCCTATATGCCAACAACAGTCAAACTGAGAACCAAATCAAAGACTCAATACCCTTCACAATAACAACAAAGAAAATAAAGTACCTAGGAATATATTTAACTAAGGAGGTAAAAGACCTCTACAGGGAGAACTACAAAACACTGAGGAAG